ACACACACACACACACACACACACACACACACACACACACACACACACACACACACACACACACACATTCATTAAAGTCTTAGAGATATAAAATATTGCAACAACATCTTTGTTTACCATCCTTACCAATGCGTTTTTACTTCAATTTGTAGTACCAGTATTCAGGTGCAGAACAAATGCTGGGTTTAAATCCGTCAATATGAATAAGTATTTTTGTGAAGGCATGTCTAACTGTAGTTTCTGTTTGCATTTTAATATTCACAAACACTTAAATAAATTTGAAATGACTCACAGATGATGACGAGATGGGCTAAACATGGAAATATTGCAACATAGAGTGAAGAAATTGTCACAAAGTGCAAGCTTAAACACCAACTGAACTGGTTGAAATGTGCACTTAATGCTTATAACTAGTTCATGAATCGAAGGCATTGACTGGTTTGATTGATCTCACGAGCCTCAACTGGTTCTCAACTGGCATTTCCTTTTTTTTTTATTTTACTGTAAAAACTGATCTTACGAGGTTTGGCATGAATGCAGAAGGCTCGTCCTTATCACTGTAGTTTCAAGAGAACCCAATTTGATCACCAGCCCAAGTTGACAGAAGATCTCGGTTAAAGTATTTTGCTGTAGTAATCAGGGATCCCTCACAAATTTCACTGACAGCTAAATCCGTGGGCTGGAATGACGTGACCGTGTATCCCTCAGGTGTTTGGTAGAAGTGAGTCAACCTAATGTGTACCAGTGTTTTGTTTTGTTTTTCCCATGTTGGCTCATTCAAACTATGACAGAGGGACTGAATTTACCTTCTTTAGCCAGAAAAAAAAAACACGTTTTGTTATATTTAGCCCTGCTACTGCCCTTGGGTCAAAATGACCCAAGAAGAAGGAAGGTTAAATAAAAACAAGGTGTGGTAGCAAATAAAAAAAAACAATCCTTATCATTTAAAGTAATATCAGTATATTTATGTATTTTTTGCTACATAGATTCTGCTGTTTTTTTGATCTTGTTAAATTTTATGATTGAGCTGTCATGAAAAGGGTCTTCCCCACACATCAGTGACATTCACTGCACAATGAGGATTCCCATCACACCCTTACTTTTCCATCTTGTTAGTGCACACCTTTCTTTAGAAACAGCTGCTGCCTTGCCGCACCTCTTATCAGCTACTATCCATCCGATATATCTGGTTTCAGAACATTAGTGATGTGTCACTGTCAGTGACATGCTTCAGCTAGTAAGAAATGTTTTTGTTTGTTTTGTTTTTTTGTCTTGTGGATTTCCAAGGCTTTGTGATACAGAAGGAGCAGATCTGTTCATTTCATGAAATCCTGTAATCTTGGATTCTTTCATCACGATTTGGCAACGTAATGCACTTTTGAGTTCCGATAGTTGCTTGGATATTCCTTTTTAATTCTCCCTACATTCAGGTTCTTGTCTGACATTCTGAAAAAGATTTAACATTTTCCTGACACACAGTAGAGCATCTGTATTTGGTTGCCAATTGGGGTCATGCATCAAAACCACACAGAGAAAAGGGTACAGCCACTTCTGTTGTGAAAGACCGATTTGCAGTGGATGCCAGATGTGATCAGTGTGATGACATGAAGTTAATGTATATGTCACTGGCTGGACATGTGAGAGAGACAGGGATTAATAGCCCTTTACTGTCTGTATGTGAGATCTAACAGAGGTGCGCTCTATGACCAGAGCTGATCTCTGTGTATTTATTCAGTTATCTAAACTTTTTCCACTTGCTTATGTCTGCTGACTCTCATTGCTTTCTGTGTCATTTCAGGATACCCTTCAAGATTGGACAACCGAAAAAACAGATTGTCTCTAAAACTGTAAGTCATAAGAAATTTTAACTTATTTCACATATTCAAAGTTTACATTATCAAACAAAACCCCCCCCCACATATTTGCTTAGGTTTAATTGTAGTTTGTAGGCTAAATGGATGACAAATGCAAACATCCTTATGCTGACATTAGTTTGCTATAGCCAGAAAATTTTCTTTGGACCCTAATTTGTTGGAGCCACTTCAGGGGGCAGGGAGTGATTACCTTGAAGTGACAGTGAGTAGGTGTTCCCCTTGCTGGTGAAAACCACTTCCACTGTAATGGCTCTTTGGCCCAGCAGTCGCTGTAAGTTTGGCTTTCCAGCTTCCTGTGCCATCCTAACCAAAACCGATGGAGTGGGTTACATACAGGCCAGTTAGATGATCCACTTGTGACATTCTGTCAACTGTTTCTTCTGTTGCTTTTGCCCCTGTGTTTAAACTCTGGAGCCCACAGAACCACAAGACAGGAAGCCATGAGGGTTCTGTAACTTGTTTAACATGTTGTAGAGAGATGAAGGACAAACTGTTTGTGTGGGTGACTTTATCTCAGCCTAGCCCTTCCTTGCAGTCTTGTTGGGCTTTCGAGAACTGATATTATTAAAAATTTAACTAAAACCAATCCGATGTGGGGGAAAGGGTACAAAATAAATTTGAGATTGTATCCTCAAACAGCCATCATTCAATTTCATTTAATGTAATTCTTGTTGTTCCAGTGTATGGCTTCATTTTAAAGGTGGTAAATTTTCAAGGATTTTTAATCATTAAACAGTAGTATTTGCTAATTAGTTCACTGTACTTCATCAGCTGTAAAAACTCTATTTTTACAGAAGCTTCTGGTAAGTGCTGCATGAATTGGCCTCTATTTCACACACAAATGCTAATTCAATTCTATGACTATCTCTGTCACTCTGCTTCTTTATGTTTACACTGGACTGAGTTTAACTTGTTAGTGTTGGTTGAAAAGAGCAGTTTAATAATTTCTTCTACACAAGTAATTACTTGTTAAATCATTCATCATTATACGTATATCTGTCTGATACTTCTTTTTTTTGTAGGTTGAAAGAGACTTTGAACGTGAATATGAGAAACTGCAAAAGTAAGTTTGTGTATCCAAGCCTATCTATTCTGTTCCTTCACTCACTAAGTAAAATTTCTCCAGAGCTACAAAACCTACTTGAAGATCTAAGTAAAGAAAACACAACTCATTAAGCTAACGTGTCTAATAATAATAAAAAAATGTTTGTTATTAAATTAAAGCTCAGTCATAAATTGCTGACATTTTCTGGTATTTTCACAAATTAGAACAAAAAACTAAGTTCTTGTGATGAGTGATAGAAAAACTTAATGAAAAAAGTAATCGCTAAATTGCAAATGTTACAAGTATTTTATTTGTAGAAAGTTAAAGGGGCAATATTATGTGTTTCTCAGGCATATATTTAAATACTATACCATAATAAAGTATCTATGTCACCTTTCGCTGTTATTAAAATGCTGTTTTTATGTTTAAATAGAAAATAAAGTTATCTTTTCATCACTTCCTCTTCTAAACAACTGAAATTGGCTCTGCCATGAGGAAGTTTGGCTTAAAGACACGTGCCTGGGGCGTTTCTGGTACCAAAAGGCGTTTCTGGTCCCCACCTGTTATTTTCCTCCTCTGGATGGCTTCCTAAAAACACTGCAGGATTTCTCAAACATGCATGAATGAGTCAAAGCAAGGCTTTGGGCATGTTTTTATGAGAGTATAACATTATAACATGAAACTCAAAAATGTTGATTTTACTTGATATTGCCTCTTTAATAATACAAGTATCCCACCTGAAAATAATGATGCATGTGTTGTGCTTGCATCCTATACTTCCTTAGACTGATCATTGAAAATTAGGCCAGTTTGTTGTATATGTATTGGTGACTTTGTGATTTACTTTTTCTCTCAGCCACTCTCATCAAATGTCATTCTGCTACATAATGTAGCAACATTTTATCATGATCCAAATTTTAGAGAATTATGTGTCTTATATAGTATCGGCTAAAAGGTTAGTATTTTACATTTCTGTTTTTACAAATTGCTTATCATTGTGCATTTAGTTTGGTTTGTGAGTTTTTGCTGAGTTTTGCTAATTCGTCCCAACTTTGTACCGTGTCAAGTGAGATGTTCTTGCTGTGCTTTAGTTAGAAATGTCATTGAAACTGAAAATTTTCAGTAATCTCAAGGTGAAATTAATTTGTAGCAGTTCTCTTTAATTAAAAAAATGAAAGAATGACAAAGAGGCAGATTGATTATGCACTTCATCCTCGAGGAGTCCTCTCTCCTGGTGCTACAAATGACTTTAAAAGGTTATTACAGAAGACAGGGGTGTCTGGTTCAGTCCATTATGTTGAAAAGCTTCTGCAAGATTCTTACTTCTCTCAGCTGTAGAGTCTTATTGAAAGAGTATTTATTTAAAAAAACACATCTATTGACAGCTTTTAGTTGTTACTTTAGCATTTATGTGAAACTAAGGAGATCAGGGTTGAGAGCTCTTATATTCCCAAGACTTTAGGTTAAAGAAACTCCCTAGGGGCCTAAAAAAATGAGTGGGAGCACAATTTTCCACAGAGGTTTTGTTGAGTAGAAGGCCTCTTTATCAAGGAGTGGTACCAGTAGACCTTGTGGATGAGTCAGAGCAGCGGGCATGTGCAGACATTTAGATTCTCCGCCCTAGAGATCGATATCAACACGTCATGGTGCTGCCGTGACCCAAAAGCAGTACATGAAACTACTATGTTAATTTAATTACATAATACCCATCTGTATTATGTTATAATCAAATCTATTTTCAAATTACTGTGATTATTTTCATGTTACTGATAATATACAATTATTAGACTTGTTAAAAGAGGAAATAAAGCCAGTTCACTACTATGCCCTGTGTCAGTATAGTATAGAATTGTGTATTTATTGTCATGTCATTTACGTGTATTTTAGCACCTCCAGATAATTTATTATTAAGTATCTTTAAGTATTTATTGTGATTTATGTAAAATCTGGTGCAGCTTTAGGGGAACTGGATCAACCCTTTTCTTGGAAAAATTCTTCAGCTGTAAAATGCAGAATTAATAAGCAAAACTATTTGTCTAAATTTATTTTGGCTTCAGTTTTTGTTTACTTAATCCAAACAGGTATCTTTAATAAATAGTTCTAGATAAGATCTGGTAATAATTTCTGATTTTAGCTGACATTTGCACTAGGGGTATAAGAAAATATCGATACACTGAAATATCGCGATATTTCATTTCCCGATACTGTATCGATATTCTTAAGCCCTGTATCGATTTTTTATTAAGGTTTAAAATGTCAACTTTCCTGCCAGCCGTTCATTTTTATGTTGTAGTTCAGCCTCTGACCACTAGTTGGCAGCAGTGAGCCAGCCATTTGGCTCCTCTACCTCTTGAGGGGGTTTTTCATTTTTTTCCCCAGTAAGAGGTTTTTATTCAATAGAATTTTTGGAC